GGAGGGAGGAAACATTCAAGAGCTAGAGGAAAGTAGTATGTTTTGTGGGTGCTATACTGCACCCTGACTGACTTGTCTCTTCCTTGTGGCGCTTCAGTAAGGCGATGGTCCGATTGTCTACAGAGGGACTTTGCCTCCACTCTGCACTGCCCCTCATTCACATCGATATGATTGATTGATCTGGGTCTTTGCCTGATGCCTGAGACCTGATCCCGTCGACACCTCACTATCACACAGGCTGGTGTGCACCTCCGATGTGAGCTTTGTTGCCTCTCAGCTAGATGGCTGCTTGTTGGTCTTCAAGCCTTCAGACCCCAGACTCAGCAGATCTTTTTAAGGGACACAGTTCAACCCCTGACACTGGTGGCGATAAAGATATCAGGTCCTTGTGAGGAACTTAGCCTCAGTAGAGTGAGCTAGTGTTCCTGGGAGGAACGCCCCCCCCCCCTCATTGAGGGGGTTCATCTCAGTTTGGACTATTTAGCTCCTCTGCTACTTCTTGCAAAGGAGAAAGCACCCTCTTTTGGGAGGTGGACTGGGGAGCGACTGAATGCATTAAGAATTCTAGGAGGAAATTTGAGCACTTTCAAGCAATTTTTGTGGTTTTCTCCCAATTTTATACCTTGTGTAATAGGTGTTTGGGCAAACATTTTCTGCAGAGGAGCAACTAATCAACAGTGTGGGCTTGTTGGGCTATAAGTACTGTCCCAGCCTCGCGTGAACCATGGCCGTGCTGCACAGGCCCTGACTCGGCATGCCGCACCCCACCCAGCTCTAGCTGCTGGCCCGGTCATGCCTCAGATTCTGCTCTTGACACTGAGTGCTCTCAGCAGCCGCCCGCCCTGCTCGGCTTCCCAGGTTACGTCGGGGCCGATTGCCGCTCTTGTTCCTCCTACCCAACAGAACTTTATTCTCAGCCTTGATATCATTTCTTTTGTGTTTGAGGTGATTTGAAAAGCTCAAATATTAGTTTCAGCCTGTCGTTTGGAGCTAAAGTAAAAGCATATTACGATGTCCCCTAGCATGCCAGGGATTTAATTAAACCGAGAAATAACATGGATTTGTGTTTGCTTAACTTCCGCTCAAGTCCCAGCTGCACAGCACTGGCTGCATGTGCTTTTGACCTCTTTGACCCTGTCTGGTGGGGACACAGACATCTGTGCCGCTTGGTTCAAGGC